CAAATTATGGATTTCTCCTTTGCACTGTCAACTCCTCGCATACCACTGCACCTCAGTAGTGTGTGCACTCATTGTGCCATGGTTCACACAATTTGACAAAGACATGGGAAAAAAGAGTGAACCAGACTGACATACTTCTTGTTCTCATAGATCTGAATAGTTTTACATAGTTGTGATTCTGGAATTGAACTCAAAGCTAGGAAAGACCCCTTCCCCTGAGGCACACCCCTAGCTTGCCTCATTCTTCCTTTATTCCTTTTATCTACTTTTACATGTTCTATCCATTAATACATTTCTATTTTACATGGTAGTCCTGGTTCCATTTCCTAAACTTTAATTTTCATTTATCAGAGTAACAAATTCACCAAATAAGAAAAATCTAAACCATTCCCTATATATTGTCTTCTCAATTATATTTCAGGCTCCTTCAAAGAAGCCAAGTTTCACACATTTTTGGCAAGGTTTGCTTAACATGATGCACAGTATGGATGACAGAAGTAGGAAGGTAAGGGAACACTCAAATTTTTGGAATTGAGAAAAATGCTTTTAACATTTAAATGGAATACTTTGGTTTATGCATTTTCCCCCAGAGCCTCCCAAATATTTGTAGGGCTAAGAAAAGGAGTATAAATGGAGGGTCCCAACTTGCTCCCCTCTCTTCTCTTTCCTCCCTCTGGCTGTCTTTATAAGAAGGAAGGGCTATATGCATGAGCTTGGTAAGGTAACCAAACCTCCAATTTTGTCTGACACTGAGGGGATTTGCAGGACCCAGAACTTCAAATACTTAAAATGGTACACTCCCAAGCAAACTAGGATTGGTTACCTGTATTAAATAACAGGCACTATCAGGCAGGTCCTGATAGTGACAGCATCTGTGGGCAAAAAAAGTCAGAGTTTGGAAATGCAAAGCATGGTGCAGTGAGGAAGAAATGTGTGGTACCACGAGACCTAATACTGGGCATCTTCCTTTCATCTCATAGATCTCTCTCTGGGCATTATGTTAGATTTTGGACAGGAAGTAGTAAAAAAAAATACAAGCACAATTTTTACATGAAAATTCTATGCTTAATTTATTTTTCTTTTCACATTTTTATTGGTACATTATAGTAATACATAATGATAGGATTGGTTGTTACATATTCATTCATGCACACAATTTAGCAATATCATTCGGTCAATATCACTCCCCAGCACTTCCTTCCTCCTGCCCCACCTCCTAGCCCCTGGTCCCTTTCCTCTACTAGTCTCCTTTGATTTTCAAGCATTCTCTGCCTCCTCCCCACTTTTCTTTTCCTTTTTCCTCTCTAGCTTCTACATATGAGAGAAAAACATGACCCTTAATCCTCAGAGTTTGGCTTATTTAGCTTAACATAATGTTCTCAAGTTCCATCCTTTTTCCTGCAAATGACATAATTTTATTTTTCTTATGGCTGAATATATTCCACATTTTCTTTATGAATTCATCTATTGATGTGCATATAGGCTGGTTCCATAGTTTGGCTATTGTGAATTGTGCTACTATAGACATGAAACTTCATGAATCACCATAGTATGATGACTTTAATTCTTTAGGCCAAATACCAATGAGTTGTATACCTGGGTTATATGGTGGTTACATTTCTAGCCTTTTGAGAAACTTCCATACTGCTTTCCATAGAGATTTTACTAATGTATAATCACATGAAAAGTGTAGAAGTGTTTCTTTTTCTCTGTATCCTCTTCAGCATTTATTATTATTTTTATTCTTGATGACGGCCATTCTGACTGGAATAAGATGAAATCTCAGTATAGTTTTGATTTTCATTTCCCTAATTACTAATGTTATTGAACATTTTTTCATATATTTGTTGGCCATTTGTATTTTTTTGAGAACTGTCTGTATAGTTAATTTCCCCATTTATTAATTGGGTTCTTTGGGTTTTTGGTGTAGTGTTGTTTTTTTCTTTTTTAGTTCTTTATATATTTTAGATATTAATCCTCTGTCAGAAGAGTAGCTAGCAAAGATCATCTCCCATTCTGTAGGTTCTCCCTTCATGCTCCTAATTGTTTCCTTTGCTGTGCAGAAGCTCTTAAGTTTTATGCCATCCCATTTATTAAATCTTGGAATTATTTCCCAAGTATAGAGGTCCAATTAAGAAAGTTGTTGCCTGTACCTATATTCTGGAATGTTCACCTTAAATTTTCTTTCAGGAGTTGCATAGCTTCTGGTCTAATTCCTAGGATTTTAACCTATTTTGAATTGATTTCCTATAGGGTGAGGGATAAAGATCTAGTTTTATTCTTTTACATATGAATAACCAGTTTTTACCAGCACCATTGTTGAATAGGTTGTCTTTTCTTCAATGTATGTTTTAGGCAAATTTGTCAAAGATCAGATGACTGTAAATGTGTGGGTTTGTCTCTGTGTCTTCTATTCTGTACCATTGGTCTATGTCTATTTCTATACTGGTACCATGCAGTTTTTGTTACTATAATCATGTAGTATGATTTGCAGTTAGTTATTATGATGCCTCCAGCATTTCTTTTTGGTTTAGGGTTGTTTTTTGCTATTCTTGGTTTTTATTCTTCCAAATGAACTTCTATGAAGAATGTCATTGGTATTTTTAATGGGTATTACATCAAATCTGTATGTTGTTTTTGGCTATTACAACATAAAGTCATTTTAACAATATCAATTCTGCCTATCTAGGAACATAGGAGGTCTTTCCATCTTCTGAGGTCTTCCTCAACTTCTTTCTTAAATGTTCTATAGTTTCTATTGTAGAGGTCTTTCACCTCCTTGGTTAGATTTATTCCTAGATTTTTTTTTATTTTTGTTATTGTTGCTTTTTGAGGCTATCATGAATGGAATTGTTTTCCTGATTTCCCAGCAGGTTCATTGTTAGTATATAGAAAAGCTATTGATTTATGTGCAGTGATTTTGTAAGCTGCTACTTTGAATTTGTTAACTCTAGGAATCTTCTGGTGGAGGTTTTTTTGTTTTTTGTTTTTTTTTTCCTCTTCTAACTATAGGATAGTATAATCTGCAAAAAGGTGATAATTTCACTTCTTCCTTTTATACTTTTAATCCTTTCATTTCCTTCTCTTGTCTAATTGCCCTGGCTGGAATTTATAGCACTGTATCAAATAGTAGTGGTGAGAGTGAACATCCTTGTCTTATTCCAGATTGTAAAGGAAATGCTTTCAGTTTTTTCCCATTTACTCTGACGTGGTTTGGGTTTTTCATATACAGTGTTTATGATGTTGAAGTAGGTTCCTTCTATCTCATCTCCAGTTTATGAAACATTTTTGTAAAGTAAAATATCTTAAAACACTTTCAAGTTATCATTTCTTTCTCTTTTTTGTAGTATTACAAAGCCCATTTTTTCTGATATCTCTGTATGAAGTTGTGGTTTATTTTAATCTATTCACCATACTATAGTCAGATGATCAAACCTGTGTAAAGCTTTTCAAAGGCTTTGCTTTTCCTAACTTGGTAAAAAGGGCCCCAAATTACATGCTAGGCCCTCTCACACATTCTGGATTCATGCTATGTCATTCACCTCTTACTCACAATCACATTGGCCTTACTTTAGTTCTTTAAATGTTCCATACTTCTTCCTGCATCAGATCCTGTGTATATACCAGGCCCCATGTGTCAAACTCACTACATGCAGTATCTTCCCTAACGAAATCGTTCCTTTCCATTTCTCCATCTACATCAAGACCTAATCCCAGGGTCTCAGAGAACACTTTGTTTTACTCTCTAGCTTATTTTGTACATTGTAAAATTATGATATATTAAATATTATTTAGGTTATCATCTAAATCCTTAGCCTTGTAAACCAGTGAGGGATAAAATTTACTTGCTGCTTTAGCTCTGTACTCAAACAGTAAATAGAAGCTATTTGAGAAAAACAAGAAATAAATGAAGGAAGAGGAAGCAAGTAAGCTTCCATCTACTGTGGAAAAGTTTCCTATAATGGGAGTTTAAATTCTTCTAATCTAATAAGGTTCTTTAAAAAAAAAAAAAAAAAAACCTACCTCACTTTAATGGCATGAGTTATTTTGTTACAACTATTTTTCTGCTCGGTTAAAGAGAAAGGATTAATAGAATATGTTCACATTGGCAGGATTCTGTTGCATGATATGGATTTATGAAATAACACAAAGAAATAAGGAAAGTTCAAAAATGCAAGTGACATTTACAAACTATTTATAAATTCTCTTATCCTCTTTTTCCTCCTTCCCTACCTCCTGATCCAAGTCTTAATATTTTACAAAATGTAATAAGATTAAACTCATTTCCAGTAATGTAAAAGATGACTAAAACATGATCACTCTATATAATTTATAGCAGCTTTAATACTTTACAAAGAGTCCGAAGGGGGGGAACTCAGTTGGTATTTCACTTTCGTGAATACCATTTTGATAATTAAAACATTCCATTAGACTAAATAAGTTTTGCGTTTATAAACAATTATTGAGCAACATATATAAGAACTGTCATTTCTCTTTATTCCTGTTTTCATCAGAGCCTCATCAGAGCACTCATGCCACATAATCACTTTATCCAGAGAGAGTGGTCATCGTATTTTTCAAGAAAGAGGAACTACTCTACAATTACTGACAGCAAGATACATGCTGTGGAAAATGGATTATTTAGCCAAACCACAGAGTACATAGAATAAGTAAAGGGAAATTTTGTAAGCTCTCAGAAATATGCACCTAAGGCAAAGCCTAAGGTCAAGGTTGCAAGCCCCAAAGCGCCAGCAGGAAGTAAATAGCTTCTGAGTGGTTGCAGCAAGTCAGGATCCCTTACCCTGCCCCCAACACCGTATCTGAGCATCTGAAACCAATCCCACCAAGGCGGCGTGGCACTGTGACAGCGGTTGAGAGGTCAGGTCTTCACGTCTTAGATAAAACTCTATGGTTGCCGCGAGGGATGATGGGTAACGTATATACTTCCCCGGCTCCCACAAGCCTCCTGCTTCAACCCACCACCGATTCTTTAGGTAGCCATGGGCCGCCGCCCAGCTCGCTGTTACCGGTATTGTAAGAACAAGCCTTACCCAAAGTCTCCTTTCTGCCGAGGTGTCCCAGATGCCAAGATTCGCATCTTTGACCTGGGTCGGAAAAAGGCCAAAGTGGATGAGTTCCCACTCTGTGGTCACATGGTGTCCCATGAGTATGAGCAGCTGTCCTCCGAAGCCCTGGAGGCCGCCCGCATTTGTGCCAACAAGTACATGGTGAAAAGTTGTGGCAAAGATGGCTTTCACATTCGAGTACGCCTCCATCCTTTCCATGTCATCCGCATCAACAAGATGTTGTCCTGTGCTGGGGCTGACAGGCTCCAGACAGGTATGAGAGGTGCCTTTGGAAAACCTCAAGGGACTGTTGCCAGGGTCCATATTGGCCAAGTCATCATGTCCATCCGCACCAAGCTTCAGAACAAGGAGCACGTGATTGAAGCCTTACGCAGGGCAAAATTCAAGTTCCCCGGTCGCCAGAAGATCCATATCTCCAAGAAGTGGGGCTTTACCAAGTTTGATGCTCACGAATTTGAAGACAAAGTGGCCAAGAAGCGCCTCATTCCTAATGGCTGTGGAGTCAAATACATCCCCAATCGTGGCCCTTTGGACAAGTGGCGGGCCTTGCACTCCTGAAGGCTTTGGCAGCACTGCCTCCATGGACCGTGCTAGTTAATTAATTTTCCTGTTCATCAATAAATTATATTCACTGACAAAAAATGTTTAAATCTTTGTTTTAAAAAATGTTTGTTCAATTTTTAAACTAGAAACTATTAGAGAAATAGTTTTTTATATTAATGCAGAATGTTGTAATTGAAAATGGTACTTTCCTTATTTAAATAGAAAAAAATGCTGTGTGTAATTTAGAGAAATTTATTGGTATTCTGATCCAAACTTTAGGAGCATATGAGGAAATATGTTAAAAGTTTTGTTGGTAATAGAGTCATAAATTACACAGCTATTCTTAGATTAAAAATAGCTAGAGAAAACCCAAGATTTGTGTGAAAAAAAACAACAACACTCATTTATGTCAAACAAATAAAGGTGAAAATAGTGTTAAGCATTAGTGATATTTTAACTACATCCTCCTTGAAACTGTTCTGTTTCTAAATTTGGTTGCTTATGTTTTCCTATAAATTTTTTTGCATTATTTTTGGAATTTCCTAAGACTCCAAATACCAGCCTTAGGACTATTGGGTATACTGAAAAAGGTTTTTCTAGACAAGTCTTACATTATCTCACACTCGGGAGACAACAGTCCAATCTTTTCTTCATCATAGAAAGGTCATAGGTGACAACAGAGTTCATATAGCTTGTATTTGGACCCCAGTAGAATCAACAGAAGAAAGAAAATGATACTTAATCTGTTAGCTGTACTCTAAGAGGACCCTAGAGAGAGTTTGCAATCTGTAGGTGTTTGCCCTACATTAGCGTTATATTGATCACAGGGGTGATTTTTGTTTTATTTTAGAAACTACATGAGCTAACATTCCTTGATCTGTGCTGCTGTTTTGTTCTCTCTCTCTCTCTCTCTCTCTCTCTCTCTCTCTCTCTCTCTCTCCTGTTCTGTTCTTTAAATTGATTTAGTCTTTGAAATCTCAATCTTGCAAACCATGCCTTCAAATTTTTATACTGACCACTCATTTTCAGAGACAACACATTTAATGAAAGCAATAAAAGGAGTTCTATACAGCATGAAAACATTGCTAAACATAGTTTCCATTTAAATTTCTTTTGTCAGTTCCAAGGTATTACATTTGCCTTGATAATTCTTTCAGGTCCTCATGTAAGATGTTCTCTATTGGAGTCCTTTTAAAATACTATTTTAAGCTATAATGATTTTCATATAAGTAAATTATTAGAAATAAATTTGAGAAAGATAACAAGGTAAATGTACTGAAAGAGTTCTTCAGTCTAAGAAGCACCAAGTTTTACTTGATCCTTGAAAACTCCTGAAATTATCTTGGAAATTGTCCTGAAATGGTCTTGGAAATTGTTATGAGAAAGATCTGTCCAAAGAGCCAGATTTTTGGACTACTATCATTCCTGTTCACCTTATATTGTATTTCAAAAAATCATGTGTTAGTATACCCATGATCCAGCTTTGAAAATATTTTCCATCTTCATTTATTCACCCTTCGATTTGGTCTCAAAACAAATATTTTAATTTACACATTTGGAACACTTCATTCACTAATTGTACAAAGACAAAAGAGACAGTTAAGTCTCCTTATGAAATTGGATCTAAGAGACTCTTAAGTAGGATTGTTTACATACATAGATAATGTGAAAATAGAGCTGGGGAGATAGTATTAGAGTGCTTGCCCATGCACAAAACCCTGGGTTGGATTTCCAGCACCATAAAACATAATAATAGTAATATAATAACAATAACAACAATAATAATAGATATGTGAAAAAAAGATATAAAAACTAATCATTATCAATAATGTTATTTGTCTTGTTCCTGCAGTTTTACATTATAAATAAAAAATAATATTTAGCTTTGACATAAGGATATTTTTACTTATTTTTTTTCCTTAACAATCCTATGAACTTGTGTTCCCTAAGCCTTGATTTTTTTTTTTCAGTATGTGTTCTGACTTTAGGGTCATTCTAGTTATCAAAAAAAATTGATATGACAACTGAGCTGAAAGATAGTTATATTTTGCAAAGCTCTGTTATTTTAAAATGTTATTCAAAATGGAAAATTTAATTTGGGAATATCTGTATTCATATATTTGTATTCATGCATTACTGCAATAAAACAACTCTTTGCCCATTCAAAATAAAAAAAGAAATAACACAAGTAAAGTTAATTGAATTGAAGAAAATACTGTCCAATAAAACTTTTTATTTAATTAATAGCATTTCCAGATATATGGAAAATACTAAAGGTGAAGAAAATAGAGTACTATGTACTCTATCAATTAGTTATGGAAGTTCATTTCACAAATGAACATAATAATCCACCATTTTTGGCCCATTAAAATACAGAATTATTTTAAGCAAACTTAGCTTCAAATATTTAATTTTTATAAAACTATATATTAGCTCTGGCTAACTAGAACTTCTAAAAGCTAATATTGGCATTATTATAATATTTGTTCCTGCCTCACTGCTACTTAGCTCCTGATTTTAGGTACTTGTATCATTTGTTATGATTTATGACCTTAATATTCTGTTTTACAACCATAATTTCCTCCACTTAAATATACTTTTAGTTCTAGATTTAATTAGATTTAGTGTTCTGGTTCAAGTTTTTGACATTTTTTATGATAAGTTGTTTAAATTTCATTTTCATGTCCTTCTATTTTGTCTTCTACTTTTGGAGCTCCTTTAGGAAAAAAACAAATGTGCTTTACCAAGTAGTCTCTACATATGACTCAGTTATGGGGATTTGCTTTATTCTTCTCCATTGGATTTTTAAAAATCTAACTTACTCATCTCTCTTATTCAATATTTCTTTATTTCTGTCTCCTTTTTCCTCACTTTTGTTTTCAAAGATGTGATTACAATCACACCATTATTTTCATAATTTTATATGATGTAATATAGCTTTCCCAGATCTTGTATTTAATTTGGAAGATTGGAGAAGAATCTTTCTCTTTCACTAAGTTTGGTCATTTTCTTTTTTGTGGATTTAGTCTTCTCTGTGTGTGTTATAGTTCAAAGGCTGAATATTGTTTTCTATCTTCTTTCCCACCACCTAGAGATGAGAAAGAAAATAGATAATTTGAAGGGTTAAGTATAGCCTTTGATGGATGTCAGGTTCTGATTTCTTTACTGAGAGTCCATTAAATATTCTATACCCAGGTGTGTGGTCCCTACTAGACCTAAAAATTCCTTGACCTGCCATTCAAGGCAGAACCTTGAAAATGGCAAGCCCAATTTCTCTTGGGAAAGAGACAGAATCTTTTGTGCAAATGCAGTGTTCCTGGAGGAGAAAATGTCCCCACTTCTCTGAGTAAGGACGTAAGGACTGGGACAGGGCATCAGATTGCTTGGAAATGATGATTTTTTTTTTTTTATCTGAATGTAAGTACTGAATCAAAATTAAAACAAAACAGAACACAACAATTGATAACTGATGGTAGGTCAGAAAAGATGGCAGAGCTGAGATAGAGTATGTCTGGGACAGCCTTTTTCCCTAGTCTCTGGCATTTTATGGATAGGATTTAAATTTCCTATCAGTGTTGGGCTATTATGGTGCTTTTAAATCAAAGCAAATTGTTGGTTCTATGTCTACTCCCCCAAAGTGTTGTTTATTGGAAGGGAGACCATAACAGCAAGAGGCTACAGAGAGGTTTTCCTCCATGATGGATGCTGAAGGTAGAAAGTGAAAGAGCCAGGATTCCTTAGCCAGATTTCCCTTGATGGGCTTGATCAGGGAGATACAGGATACTCCAGTATTCCCTAAAGAACTGACAGACCTCTAATAGAATCAACATATGAAAAGCTCAGAGGTAGTCAGTAATGTGAAGAGAACCAGTAACAAGGAAAAGGGAATCTGCCCCCTGTAATCTGGAATCATTTAACAAAGAGAATATTGTCTCTACTTATCTTCTATTTTTAATAACCTAAATTAAGGAATGAAGGAGAGAAGAGTCAGAGGAAACAAGAAAGCAGATAATTCCCCCTTCTCCATCCTAAGTAATTGAAATCACTACTCTGGACCATACTAATGGAACAGATGAGAGTTTTGAATGAGCTTGATAATAACTTTAATACTTAGCTGGGCATGGTGTATGCTTGTAATCTCAGCAGTTCAGGAGGTTGAGCAGGAGATCGCAAGTTCAAAACCAGCCTCAGCACTTTAGTGAGGTACTAAGTGACATAGCAAGACCCATTCTCAAAACAAAAAATAAAAAGGGCTAGGAACGTGGCTCAATGGTTAAGTATCCCTGGGTTCAATATCTGATATCCAAATTAATAATAATAACAATAGAAAATAATGAAATAAAAATATAATAATAATAATTTTAATGCTTGACAGTGATTGAAAAGTTATGAAATAAGGATTAGATAGTGTTAAGAAAATATGCTACTAAAAAAGCAAAAGAACTACAATGAGGCACAGTTGGTAGTTGTTACAGGAAAATAAAAATTTCATGTTTACTTCAAATTCTGCCAAACCTGTTTACATAATTATTTTGATGAAAATCTTTCACAAACAATAATAGCAAATGTCAAAATTTAGGAAGCTTATTGAAGTTTCAGAAAAGTAAAACCTCATTTAACAAAAAAACTTCTATAACACTTCTCAAAAACACCCTTAACTTCTGAAACACTTCCTAAAAACACCTCTACTCTTCCACTCATATAAACACTTGAAATATGAACAGATTTTAAATTCTCTTCATGGAAACCCATGTTCATGTGGCTCTAGTCAAATTTTATATCTATATCTATATGCTATAGATATATATGGGTAGAATATTATGACAAAGATAAAACATTATTATCAAGTAATATATTTTATATAAATATAATTTATATGAGAGTTATTTTATCTACTTATATAGATACCTCCAAAATTAACCATAAACAATGTCAATATTATCTTCCATCTAATTGGTAGAGATTTGATTTACACATACAATAGATTATTTAAATTTATATGAATATTTTTCCAT